CTCTTTCTGTTTTATTGGATTTTGTACTGTGAACAGGTTTTACCTTTCCAAGTAAATATTTCCAAATAAATATATACAATAATTTATTATAAAAGTGGGGGTTGGGTGAGGAGAGGTGGTCTGTGTCCCCAAGGGACTTGCAGCCTAATGGTAATGACTGAAGAGTGCTGCGTAGACAGATGAAGATGGATGTTCAGCCTTCACCATTTGGAGGCCAAAATTTTGGGGGCAAATCACAGATGGTCAGAACCATTGTATGCAAAATGATTACAATGACTTGGTGGGCTCGTGAGGATCCAGTGGGAGGAGAGGGGTGAAAATAATCCCTCCAATGTGAGGCACATTGGGTTTCTGGTGGTGGTTCACTATGAGCAGCTGAATTTTGTGACTTTCTCTTTCAGAAGGAGCCACAGAGGAGGAGAAATGGCTGAGCAGGAAGATGATGAAATACTGGGCTAACTTTGCTCGGACTGGGTACGTTAGCTTCCTGGCCTCCCCAGGCAGGGGTGTTGGAGGGTGAAAATCTCACTCCTGCTTCTGCTCTCTTCCAGGGATCCTAACATGGATGGCCTGCCTCTATGGCCAGCCTATAATCTGAATGAGCAGTACCTGAAGCTGGGTTTGAACATGAGCCTTGGACAGGCACTAAAACAGCAGAGAGTGAAGTTTTGGACCAATGTACTTCCCCTGATAATGTCTACTTCCAAGGCTCTCTTCAGTCCTCTTCCCTCCTTAATCTTCATTTCTCTGTTCTTGTCTTTCTTTTTCTCTTTCACTCCTTGAGAACTTACCTTTTTGTGGTTTGAATTTTCCTTTCCTTCCTTTTGCGATTTCTCCCACAATCATTAGCCTCAGTTTAGCTGCTTTCCACGGGGCTCTTTGTAAAATAAGCTGCTTTAGCTGATGTTCTATGGAATTAGGGATGATCCTTACAGAGTCCTTTTCAATACCAAAAAATACAATTTGTCTTGAAAGTTAACAAGATTTCTTCAGTAAATCTAGAGGAGGGCTGGCCTATTCACTGGCATAATAATGATCTTGTTACTCATATGAAATAAAAGCAGAATGTAAAATATACACAGGGAACAAAATTTAATTCTGTGCTAACAACTATCCCCTCCCCAGCATCCATGATGAAGTAGGCTCTTTATTAGAGAAGGTGTTTGTTACCTAAAACATAAATCTCCAACTCTGACCTGGGGGGAAGGGGCATTGACCTCAGTGTTGGCCTCTCAGTATGGACATCCTGGATATTGCTGGGTTTGAGCTGGGTGTCTTCTCTGGCTCAGCAAGACAGGTGGTGAGGGGGTCAGGAGTGGGGGGGAGCAGGGTACATGCTGAAGAAACCAGACATTATCCAAAGTCAATAATCTAGTAGTCAAACACCAGGAAGCAACAGTTAGATCAGGGACACCAAAGAGAAAAGGGGTTCCTTGATGAGATCGAAACTACTTCGTCACTCAACAAACCTTCACTGGGCACCTGAAATGTGCCAGGCCAGCCCCAGTGGGATAGGGGTGAACAAAACATGGACTCCACCAAACAGTGGGCAAACAGATGCTCAACAAACATGCTCCCAAGTGAATATCTTATGATATAAATTTGATAAGTGCTACTCAGGAAAAGTAAGGTGCTTTAAGAATGTGTAACAGAGGGGAGTTCATTTAGTTTGAAGTCTTAGGAAGTTCTCTCTGAAGAGACGGCATTTATATTAAGAGAGGACACATTAAAGTTGGCTGCATGGTAGGTAGGGAGAGTGTTGTACATAACATTATTCAAAGGGTTTTTTTTTTTTTTTTTACTTCTTATATCCATATAATCCATATCAGATCCAGATAACTCACAAGGGTGATTAATTTCACTTTGTGACTGCTTCAAGAGATGATAAGAACTTAGTTCACCTGGATGAGAGGTCTCCAACTCATAACCTGAATCTAGCCACAGGAAGTATTTTGCTTAGCCCACACAATGTTAGAAATGTGTTTTTATTTCAAATTAAAGAAATTTCACATTAGAAGCCATATTCCCAGTTCTCTAGAAAAAGAAGAACAGAAGATGTGGCAAGAAGATGTGGCAAGAGCTGCATTCCTAGCCGGTAACCAGAACTTCTGGAACCCATACAGTACTTTTGTGCGAATTAGAATGTATCTCTTCCTCAAAACCCTTCACAGACATCTTCCAGGAAATGATCGTTGAAAATATCGATGCCCATGTTGTGAACAACACCTCCTCTGGAGTGTTACTCTTTTGCAGTGCACAACCTGCACAACTGTTTTCAGCAACTCTGATGGCGTAATCTGCAGGAACCTAGTAAAGGATACTCCCCTTTTAGAGGTATGAGCTCTCAACTTTCCTCAGTCCTCACCATGCCCCTTTGTCTAGTGCCTGGCCCTTTCACTCACTTATATTACGGGACCCTTGAAGCTGTTTAAGTTTGAACCTCTGACCTCTCATGGTAAGTGAACTTTAGATGAAGAGATTTACCCAAGATCACTCAGGGATCGAACAGCAAGTCACAACCAGGCCTTAAGTCTCGTGTCTCTCCAAAACAGGACTCTTTATGCTATGCCACCTACCTCTGTTAGCACGGGTCAAGACTGTTGGGTTGTCTTAGGTTTAGTAGTTGTGGAAGGGGGTGGATTATAGCTGTCATTAATTTTATCTAGACAGGGTGAGCAGATGGCATAAAAGTTACATTATCATTTGACTCTCACATGTCCGACCACGGTTTGAGTCCCTCATGCCAGGTGCAAGTGCATGTGTGCCCAAGAACCCGAGAGGAAGTGGAAGAGAAGGGATTGTGGCATGGCCATCTCTCCAGGAGGCTGATTTCTCACTTTCCCTCTCACTCTCTCTCTCTGGCAAGCGCACATGCCCTAAGGCAAAAACCTCTCCAAAAATTTATCCTAGACATTTATGGTCATAATTTTATGAGCAACTTTAGAAACGAGTACTTAATTTCTAAATATTATTTATGGCCTCTGCATGTGCAGAAGATGACCTAGGTCAATGGTCAGACCTTTTGAAAATCACTTTTCTTAGGCTCTACAAATTCACTTTACAGCTCAGGAAGGAACCAAGTCCTATGCAAGCAAACCGGAAATTCAATCGCTCTGCAGCTGCAGAGGCTAATTTCTACATTGATATTTGGGAAAACTAACAGATAGAAAACACCACTCAACTCATTTTAAAAATACTAGCATGTTAAATGGCACTACACGCGTCATTTACACGCTGCTCTCAGTCCTAGCATCCTCACACGTGGTTCTAATCTGGGCAAGTGACTTACTAGGGGGAAACATTTCCAAGTCATCCAGTTACGGGACTCTCTGCCCTCCTTCTTCCTGCCCACATGCAGTCAGGTGATCTGTGGAGTTAAAGTGGGCATATGAATGCCACTCAGCGTGTATTTTGTTGTTGTTTTCCATGTAATCCAGGGTTTTCTATCAGGTGTAAATAGAAGAATCACTTAGAGGGTTTTCCCAAAGTTCCAATGACCAAGTCACTCCCCCGGTCCAACTAAAGCAGAATCTTCTTGTAAGGGACCTGGAAATCTGTATTTTCAGTTTTTGTGCCTTCTAATGTGAATACCTTATTAAGAGCCATAGAGTCTTAATAGTGCAGCATATGTATTTTCCAAGTTGCTAGAGGTTCTTTAAAAATGTTGCCTGGTGTGGATTTGTCACAATCTCTTCAGTCATTATTTGATCCTAGACATAGGATCATAATTTGGTCATAATTTTATGAGAAACTTTGGAAATGAGTACTTTATTTCTAAATATTGTTTATGACATCTGTATGTGCAGTAGATGTCCTAGGTCAATGGTCAGACCTTTGTAAAATCACTTTTCTTATGTTCTACAAATTCACTTTTCTGAAGAGCCTCATCACTTTATACTTAACCATGCAGATACATATTTCTTTTTAAAAATTTTCTTACTCTCTCTCTCTCTTTGTGTGTGTGTGTTGTGTGTGTCTTGCTATAGGGTGCAGGAGAGAGATGGAGAGAGAGAGGAAGAAAGAGAAAGTGAAAAATCACTCCTCCCCCTCCCCGCCCCCCAAGGAGGGATGGCCATGCCACAATCCCTTCTCCTCTCTTCCTCTCTTGGCATTTTGGGCATGCACACACATGCACCCGGTGTGTTTTCCGAGCACCAGGTCTGGGACTCAAGCTGTGCCGTTGGCCATATAGGATCCAGCACCTTAAACACTATACCACCTATGGATCATATTTCTGAATCACCTCTGCTTTTACATCATGAAAAAAAGTTTAATATAGTTATTATTATAAAATAAAAAAATTTACTTTTTTACAAAAATATTTTTTTTTTCCAAACTATCTTGATCTTGATTATTAAATCAAAGGCAAAACTTTAGGGATCAACCCAGTCGTCACCTGTGAGTTTCCTAATATCCAGCAGAGGGCAGCATTGTAATAAAGAAAAAAAACGTGTGCTGTGATTATCTTAGGACTTGGAAGGTAAAGAAACCTATACAAAATAGTTCAATTAAAAACTCATACAAAATATTGTTGTCTTTTTTCCCTAACATTTAGAAAAGGTAAAAGATAAAATCCATTACTTGAAAAGTTGGACTGAAAAGACTAAATTCACAGGCAGAACAGTGTGGAGCTGACAGTCTGTTTTCTTTTTCTTCTTTTTTAAGAGGTTTTTTTTTTTTTGCCTTTGGGCACGTGCATTCACCAGAGAGAGAGAGACCAGGACAGTGAGAGGGAAAGTGAGAAATCACCCTTTAGGGGAAATGGCCACTCCACAATCCCTTCTCCTCCATTCTTCTCCCACGATCTTTTTTTTTCCAAACTATCTTGATCTTGATTATTAAATCAAAGGCAAAACTTTAGGGATCAACCCAGTCGTCACCTGTGAGTTTCCTAATATCCAGCAGAGGGCAGCATTGTAATAAAGAAAAAAAACGTGTGCTGTGATTATCTTAGGACTTGGAAGGTAAAGAAACCTATACAAAATAGTTCAATTAAAAACTCATACAAAATATTGTTGTCTTTTTTCCCTAACATTTAGAAAAGGTAAAAGATAAAATCCATTACTTGAAAAGTTGGACTGAAAAGACTAAATTCACAGGCAGAACAGTGTGGAGCTGACAGTCTGTTTTCTTTTTCTTCTTTTTTAAGAGGTTTTTTTTTTTTTGCCTTTGGGCACGTGCATTCACCAGAGAGAGAGAGACCAGGACAGTGAGAGGGAAAGTGAGAAATCACCCTTTAGGGGAAATGGCCACTCCACAATCCCTTCTCCTCCATTCTTCTCCCACGATCTTGGGCACGCTCACACATCCCCCCTGAAAGATTTAAAAGCCACTAGGTCTGGGACTTAAACTGAGGTCGGCCATGTGGTAGTCCAGCGATGTAACCGCTATGCTATCTGCTGGCTTGGGCATTCTTTTATTTCCCAGTTTTTGCGTTTTTCTTCAACTCCCTGGGAGCCTGCCTCAGAGGGACCTAAAGGAGGTCCTCTTCCTAGGATTTCCTGTTCCTTCTCATCTTCTCTCGAGGGCCTTTGGACTCTGGACCTTTTGCTCAATCCCTATTCTGCCCTCTCTGTCTCTTCAGTCACTGGTTTTCCTCTAATTTCCCTCTGGGCAGAGGTGGGGGAGGGAGAGTGCTCAGGTCTTAAACCTGGAAAGCTGCCCCACCTGACACTGCCCCAGGTAACACATGTGTAAAATGTGCCTCCCTTATCACTGTGAAGACAGATTCTATGTGATCCTAACCCTTGTACTCTGCTAGAAGCTTGTGTTAAGAGTATGCCTTATTTTGGACCAGCAGTTGGCATAACGGCTATGTCGCTGGACTCACATGTAGTCGACCGTGGTTCGAGTCCTGGACTCGGTGGCTTAAACTCACGCCAGGCGTGTGTGCGTGTGTGCCCAAGATCCTGAGAGAAGAATGGAGGAGAAGGGATGGCAGCATGGCCATCCCCCCTGGGGGTTGATTTCTTGCTTTCTGTCTCTCTGTCTCTCTGGTGAGCGCACGTGCCCTATAGCAAAAATTTTTTGGGTGGCGGCCGGAGCCACAAAAAAAAAAAAAAAAAAAAAAAAAAAAAAAAAAAACCTCTCCAAAATAAATAAATAAATAAGATTGTGCCTTATTTTATTCTCTGGGAAGACAAAGACAGACAGAGAAAACCCTACCTTGCCACTTGATTTTTTTCAAAAGACAAAGGAATTTGTTGGTGGAGAGCTTCCTGTGCCCCATGGATGGGTTGGAGCCCAAGTTTACACTCAGGATGGGGAAGAAGGGGAATGGCCAGAGCAGTGTGGTGGCAGCATGGTCACAAATGTGCAGGAGTGGCAAGGGGCCACCCAGAGGACAGCATTCAGGGGTCTTGTGAGACAGTTTTTATTTGAACTGTAGGAAGCAGGCAGAAGAGTGATACAGTCAACGATGAGTTTATCACTCCACCCATCCACCTGTCGGTCTGTCAACCGTCTATCTGTACCCTTTTATGTAATTGTGGTTGGGGTCAGGCAATAGCAACTGGTCTCCCATGAGTTCACCTCCTGTGACCTCTGTCAGCGCAGCAGGCACGCGTGTTTGTGTGCCCAGGATCTGGTCCGGCTGAGACCTGCAGTGGGTCATGGCATGAGGACTCTGTTGCAAATGTTTGTCCCTTTTGCTCTCTTCCACTCTCTCTTTTTCATGGAAGAAGTAAGTAAATGAGCTTTCAAAAAATAAAATACATGATCATACTTGACACTCTATGAGGGGACTTCAAAAAGTTTGTGGAAAACTGAAATGAAAAACTAAAAATAAAAAATATAAACTTCAGTTCTCAAAATAAGCTCCATCAAGTTTAAGACACTTTCCTAAACAATGATACAACCCTTTAGTCCCTCCCTAAGGAGCTGAGTGTCCTTTGACTTTATCCATGCCAATGCAGAACTTCTTTACATCATTAACTAAAGAAAAATGAGTGCACCTTTAAA